ACTTTTTGGACCTTTAATATATATTGAATGGTATTGAACCGAAGAAATTTCTGTCGTAATCAAAAACAGTTTATCGATTTTTCATTTTCATAACTTTATTGTTGGCAGTTTATCCAAACAAGTTCAATTCACTAAAAAATCTGTTCATTAACTACTGTTTTATGTAACTAAGGGCGTTCTCAAGCAGCTCCATCAATGTAATTAATCATCGCAATTAATTGAGTGGTTAATGTGGTTGGTCGAAGAACGACTTTAAAAAATTCATTGTGCGAAATTCGGATTCTAAATTTTAGCAATCGGAGAAACTCTATGAAGAAGGACGGTCTGCACCTCCTAACTTTATTCATCTAAACGATAACTCACTTGGTTAGTTTATCCAATTTTCGCCAATTTAGACCTTTTTTCCGACTCATTGATTGAATTGCTTTAGAACACCCAAAAAAACAGCAACTTACAGACAGCCAACTTAGTTATGTTGCAAAATCAAATTATATTTAGCTAAGTCACTTATGGATATAACTTGGTTCTTCAATTAACTTAGGATTTAAATAATTTATATTAAAATGAACTGTTTTTAGGCAACTTTAACCGTGAGTTTTGATAAAATGAAACAAATTCTATCAAGTATACCTCATTCATTTCGTTCAAGTCCTCTTCTAAACTACAAACATCTATATCCTTTAGTTCCTCATCACCAATCACTACAGTAAATCCTAACATTTTGATGCAATTGTCAAACAAATTTGTCAATTGCAAAAAATCTTCTTTAATTTTTATTGTCCCAAGGAGTTTAAAACTTTGGAATTGTGTTATATTTGCTACGAAATTTCTAGTTTTTATCACGACGTACGCGAACTTTTTAAAGCTTTCTCGATATTCGTTCTGCTCAAGTCTTTTTTTAATTTCTTGTTTTCTACGTTGCAAGATTTTAATCTTCAATTGAACTGATGTTGCACGTTCAATTAAAGCTCTACATAGTTTTTTATTATATTGCGCATTTTTATCTATTTCAATTATTTCATCAACATTCGTAGTTATTATTGATATTAATGGTATATGGTTGCCAGCATCTAAAGCTTCAAATTCTTCTGAAAGTTG